GAGATCGGGGCAAGTTGGAACAGTAATATGGTTTGGATTTTTTATTGAATAACCGTTAATGTTAGCATGCTGAAAGTCACGTCATCAGACGTGACAATTAGTTGAACGCCATTATGTATTATCTGTTTTAATGTTTTATGAACAGTATTTTCAGAAAAAAATATTTTTCAGAATGCCGTTTGTTTCAATTTACCGCGTATCTGGAGTATATTGAAACAAAGCATGGGATAAGTTGGAACTATATATTCTGACTAATATGAAACCATGACAACTAATATGTGATTGATAGAGACATATGTCTTCATTCTTATGTTGAAAATAATTAATTCCATTCTGAATATCATACTTTAGTCGCACAATGGTTAGAAAGACCAGGAGATATTTTAAGGTAATTTTATGCAGAGTCATCTGAGTCATAATGATGGCATTCGTAGAATGGATGCACTATCCATGCATTTTTCATGTGCACCATTCTTTTACCGCATCATCAGCTTTTTCATTTCTTTTTTTTGCCTATAATGTTGGGATCTGTGTTGTTCACTTTTGCAACCTCATAAGCCGGCCGCCTAACACCATCAGAAGCAAGGCCAAAGTAAATACCGCTAGCTTCTTCAATGTAATAAGCCACATAACTTTCTTGAGAATCAGTAAAGATGTTTGGTGTTGCATAGCTCATTTTCAGTTGCAATACGCTACATGTATTTTCATGAATGCATTGCTGGTGAAACGACCGAGACGGTGTGGGTGATTTGTTTACACCTGTTAGTAAGAACAAACATGATATCGAATGGGAAGAATTAATGTGCATAATATTTCCGTCAAAATGCTGCCTAGTTATTCATATTTTTTTAACATTCTGCACATATCTGTATAGTCACATGTGGTATTTTGCTAGTCTTTACCACAACACGCGCAAACTCATTCGATTCCAAAACCCTTCTGACTGCATTCAGCATCTTCTCTTCGCTCATTTCTGTATTTTCTTCTGTATTTTATCGTTTCGTACCATTTTGAGAAACGGAAAATTGGTAGATTTTAAATACATCGCAAATACGGGACACGTTGGAAAACTTTCAACTTGCCCCATCCCATTTGTTGCTACGTGCCCCGAGAAGTCTTTTTGATGACGTCATTTAATACCAAAATGGTACTTAGGTGTGCCTTGACCGAACTTTAATAATTCTGCATGAGAATATCCACTCTTCTTATAGACCAAATAGAAAAGATTAACAGAAGTGTATTCACGAACAAAAAATAACAATTCTGGCATGAAAAAAAGTTACTCCTCCGCCCGTAAATCAGAAAAATTCTTCAAACTACAATGCTTCCGCCGCTATGCTCCTACCATTACATCAGCATGCCGGTTGCCCCACCCTCAACTGCATGTAACGGGATGAAATATTTCATAGGCTGCATAAAAAAATAGCACGAGTGTTTCAATATACCCCGTGTTCTAACCGCCCCGGTCTCTTCTAAATCTCGACGATGTTTTATTGCTATCCACAGCCGTGTTCAACGAGTTCAAAGAAAAGAAACAGCTTTATATATCTTTTCCATAGAGAAACTAGAGAAGTGTGAATAATTGACATAGTTACAGTAACCAGTTAAAATAGTTCTGAGCTTTCGATATACAGTAATTCATTCAATACTATTAGTTTTGCTATGGCTATTCATTTAATACTATCTAACCATTTTATTAGCAAGATTGTGTATGTGCGAGATGAATTGAAAGTGGTCATTAGCAGTAGTTCTACAAGAATATTAAAGTTTTCTAGGCGAAAATGTTTTGAAACGAGCAGACATTGAGCGCATCCGAGGATGTGTTCGAACGGAGCCATAGGAAATCAACAATACAGACAATTCCTTTTAAAAACCATCTGCATATTAAGTTCCAGTTACTACAGGCATTGTATCCTGGTGACCATAACAGAAGGTTAGAATTTATAACACACCATATCTTTGAGGATATTCGGGTAATAGCAATTGTCAAGACATTACCTACTGTTAGAAGTAGAAATGTTAAGATATTAAAGAAACAGTTGCATGAAAAAAATCTAGTAAATTGCAATAATAATTTATTATAACAATATTGTCGCGAGATAAAAGAATGAAGACAACGAGACAGAAGTAGAAGAAAAAGATTACTAGTATCCATAGTAGACCATTAAAATTAATAAACTTTTTGTTTTCTCAAGAAAAAATAACCATATTTATTAGATCAACTATTAGCTTTAAAAATAAACATAAGAAAATGAAATGTCCACATAAAAAGATGGCAAAAACAATCTAAAACATCTGACATTTTAATAAATCAATTGAAGCACTTTTAGAGTAATGTTTCAGTAATCCGTATAAAGTCAATAATCCAACACAATTCTCTAGTCCTATGAGAATCGGATTAAGAAAGTTGGACTGTATTTGTTATTTTTATTTATAGTATTGTTATCGATCAAATTAGTTATGTAGTCGAGTGTAGGTGGCTTCAGAGATGAAAGAAAATACTGCTATTTTTTAAAATTACAGTAGACTTACTCAAGTCATTGTAACTGATCAAAATTAGTTTAAAGTTTGCGCTATTTCTGCTAGGAAATTCCCAATTTATTACAATTTTTGGACTGATGTTCGCGTGTTGGTAACATTGCTAGCCTAGTCGGGATACTGCCCTACCGTTCATATTGCCGATAGTCAATATCAATGGTCCACTTGGTTTTCATAAGCATAATGTAGTTAAACGGTAGACAGCATACCCACTTTTTTGCAACTACATCACTGGATAGAATTACATTTAATTTCAAATACATTAGAAAAATCAATTATTTATATATGCAGATTGACACTTAGCAAGATGTCCTTTAGAGAATACTTAGTACAATGCTATACTTAATTTCAAATGGATCAGAATTGGGCTTGCCAACTCCCGAAGAGTTAAGATTCTATATGCTTTCAAAGTTGTAAAGTTCTTTTACATTCCCGGCTGTTATATATAATAGAGGGAAAGTATGGCGATCGATCAAAAAATGACCCCCTCAAGATTTTTATATTTTTGGGCTCGAAATGTCCAGAAATGCAAAAATATTCGATGCTTTTTTCTGTATTATGAATTTTTGTGGGGGAGCATTTTTGTTCACCCACTTTGAAGTTTAATAACTCCTGTGCTTTTTGTCGAAAATTTCTGAAATTTTGCAATGATATTTGTATATTAGGGGGATTGATGCTATTAAATTTTGGTGATTAAAGATCCAGAGGGTGAGGAGATAAAGGGGGATCGCTTGTCATATTTCGAGTATGGTCGGACTTAATGACGATTTTACTCGTTATTAACGTTTACAAATTTTTATAAAACCCGTCCCTATCCTGAAAATTAAGCATTTTGCCATTTTCTAATAGATAAAAATATAAAAAGTTTTTAAATAAAATATAATAACAGATGGCGTCACCAAATGTTGCTGGGAAAGTTAAGCAACTCGTTGCTGGATTTTTTTGAAGCAGTCTTTATTTAAATTTATTTGACTTTTCTGTAATAATTTTCATTCAATTTACAAAATCAATTAACCAAATTTTATTACAGTAAATTCATATAGAAATTGATTTAACAACTAGTGATGAGAGTAGTAAACTATTTTTAGATTATGAAAAGCATAACATTTATTCGCGCAAATATTTAAATAATTACGGACAGATCTGGCACTATAGTTTATAGCCTACCGCCTGGGGCAAGACATGCATTTGACATGCATGTTGTACCATACGTAATGTATAAAAATTCTAAAGTCTAAACATTACTCAGCTTAGTATGACCTTGGGTACTTGTAACCATGAATTCATTTAATTTCTTAAGCATAGATTTTATGAGTTCTTGCTTGGACTGCTTTGGGCGAATTCCTAACCTTTTGAGGGGAATGTTTTTCCCTAAATAAAACATTGTTGAGCAAGACAAGTCCTCCATAAGCAGATCAAAAATCATTATAAGAAGGATTTTTTAAGTATTATTTTTAAAATTATTATTATTATTATTATTATAAATGCCAGTATTTTAAACAACTCTCTACTTCAATTCTTCATGCAATAGATTAACTTCGTTATTAACAAATAACCTTAATAACAATATATAATTTCTAGATAATATCGAGTTAATTTTATATTTATATGTTTATTAAAACTTTCTTAAAATAATAATCCAATTAAAAGTAATTAACTTATTTTAAGATGAAAGTTTCAATAAAATATTATTTAATAATTTTCATCAATTAAAATTAATTATCATCAAAAATTTCTTTTTGTATTGATTTCTATCGTTAATTATAATTTTACAAAGCATTATATTCTCTCGTTAATTTCCAAATAATTAATATCGCATGAAAATGTACTAAAAAGAAAAATTGAAATCTAAACCTTAAAATTCATCTCCAATAACACTGTATATATATAGAGAATTCCTTAAATTTATGCTACTAGAACATAAAAGCTAGAAGTTTGTTGTTAAAAATAAGAATTTAATTAGATTTATTTATGAATAAAATTCATAAATCTTGTCATTGATATCTACTAGGCGTATGATGCCTTTATTAATATGCCTTTCATCTTGATAAATGCTTATTGACGGTGTTTATTCCAGTAAAAACGCATAATGCCCCCTCTCCATGAATGGATGAACAGCTGCATTCTGCTGTTAGACATCAGTTTTCCATTCTCTTTATCCTTTATCAACAACATAAATCTGTAGAGCAACTTAAGTTCTTTTCTACTTTATAACTTATCAACTACGTATTCTCATAAACATATAGATGATATTTTTCACTTCTATACTGTATCTAATTACTACATGTTACAGCTTTTTCATAAAATAATTTTTTTTTATTTTTATTATTATATTTTACTATATAATATTTATTTCAATACNTATAAATTAAAATTTATTAAACTTTTACGTAGTTTAATATAAATATGCATATACAAATGCAATTACATTTTTAACATGTTAATACCTGTATTCAGAAAAAATCTTTGTCTCGTATAAACAGCGGCGGATCTATATAAGGACTAATAGGATTTACGTCTTGGGATTCCAAGTGCCTACAAAAATTGAATTATTATCATAAATTTTTAATACTTTTTCATTAATAATGAGCACTTATCGTATAGTAATAAATAGTTAATAGGTTAGTTTAGGTTTGGTAAAAATGGGGCCCTGTTGGACTTCAATAAGCCATAGGCCCCGAAAAACCTAGATCCGCCCCTGCGTATAAATTTGCTACCCTAAGCCTGGGTCTCACGGACCATAATCCACCATTGCATCTGAGTAAAAACAAATGTATTATAGATGGACTGAGATTAAATTTACTTAACTTTAATACATTTAATGCCAGAAAGAATTATAGAATAATTTCCGAAAAGAATTTCTACTCTATTTTAATAATATAAAAAATTATTTATAATGATCTCCTATATTAAACTTTTTTAACACTTTCCACAAGGATGGACCCTTACGCTCCATATAGTGTTCTATCAAGCCTTCTATTTGCCACATATTTGTATTGTGTTTTTTCGCATATTAATATAATTTAGTATTTAAAGCAGTCACTACAATGCAGCACACAAAGAAATTGAAAACTGATAATACCTTATCAGTTATCAGGCCTTCTTTGGCATCACTCAGAGAGCTTGAGCAAAGACACGTGGTGAATGTTAGTATCAGACCCGTTCTTACTGGATGGTAGAGATGTACTGTACCTTTCATACATCGAGGTTAATCTATCATGAAGATTTCTGAGATGAGACTCGAATTCTAGAGTTACAGACAATCCAGCAGTCAAGATAACTGTAAAATCTTCAAATAAGAAATATTTTTATATCCCACTTTATGAATAGAAATAATATATTACTTTAAATATATAAATATTTTATAACATACAATGTTTTCATTTTTTTTTAAAGTAAACCCAAATTTATTCTTATACAGCTTTAATAAACTAATCGAACAGAACAGATATTTATTAATAAAACTAAATTAAATAACAATTTCTCTTTATTATTTTTTATTTTTGAAATACATGAAATATATTCTATTGTTTTTATTTATTGTTTAGTTGTCATTAACTTTTCTTCGCCGAACATTAATGTAAAAACAGTTCGTTTTTATGTTGATTGTCGTAACATGTAAATTATAGTTATTAACATCGTTTAAAATGATTTAAAACGAAAAATGTCGGTGGGTTTCATCATCGATTAAACACAATACAGTATTTACTTATCTAATTAATTAATTATGACGATAATTTCAAAAATATTCTCAAATATTTTCTTTGCAAATGTTATATTTGTGTACTGTCACCATTTGTTTCTTTCAAAGGATCATCCGTTCTTTGATTAAAACCGGAAGGTGCCATATACAATTTTCCATCGCAGGTTCGACTTTTTCTTGATTTATGGTAGGAATGACATCTACTCACGGAACAACAGTCAGTATGGAAATACGTAACTAATACTTTTCTAAAAGCATCACGGAATTCCGTGTTAAAAATACTATAAATAACTGGATTTAAAGCAGAGTTACAATATCCCAGCCACGTAAGTGTCTTGAAGACGTCGTCAGAAATACATGTTTTACAAAATCCAGCGACAATGTTGATACAGAAGAATGGCATCCAACACACTAAAAACGAACCCATAATGATACCCAGTGTAATGGCTGCTTTGTGATCAGTCGTAATATGAGAGCTATGGCTGAGTGATCTTATTGGATTGTTTATTTGATCACATGGAGTAATTTTGGTCACAGCTCTAATACTTTCGACATGTTTTCTCGCGTAATAATATAATCTACTGTACAAAGCAACCATTACAATGCATGGAACATAAAAACTAATAACAGATGATACTACAGCATATAACGCTGTCAATTCTAATGCACAAACGGGTTTTTCTTCGATAGTTTTTTGAATATGGTTCTTTGGTTTATGCCAACCAAGAGAAATAGGTAGAAACGACACTAATACCGATAATAACCATATAGCGACTATACTCAGTAGAACAATCTTTTTTGTCATCCATCGAGTGTACCTCAACGGATCTTTAATATGTATATATCGGTCGAGACTAATGGCACATAAATTAAGAATAGAAGCTGTAGAACACATAACATCAAACGCTGTCCAAGTGTCACAGAACTGCTGTCCAAATACCCAATACTCCATTAAATCGTTTGCAACTGCAAAGGTCATCACTAACGCCGCCACAAATAAATCTGCGACAGCCAAGGACACTAGAAATAAATTACCCAATTTTCTAAGACGACGATCGGTGCATATAGCGATGCAAACTAGAATATTTCCTGTTATAGAAAGAAATATTATAAGACAGAGGATAATGCCAACAAGGATTTTTATGGCGATACTTGATGATTCTGTAGAAGGCGAATCCGTAGAGTTCGTGATTACACTTGTGTATTGCATGATCCTGTAATAAAAATTTTTAAATTATTATTTATTAATACTTATTTTTCCTTCTAGATATTTAAATATGAATAAAATAAGAAACAAGTTTCTTAGTTTATTCATGTTTCATAGTTTACTAGTATTTATATATTATCAATAATCAAACTTGATAATCAAGTAATAACGTTAAACTTTTATCTACTGTACGTGTATAGTTGCTTTATGATTACAGTATTTATACATTATTAATCATTCTTTGCTTCTCTATGGTAGATTTTACTAAAATTGTTACATGAGGATCAGCCTAAAAACTGCATGCCAATATTAATCTTGGAGTAGTAACTTTTTGTATATCCTCCGAGAGAATCCTTCCTTTCTCTTCTTTCTATCTCCACTCCCACCTTCTTCCCTTCCCCTATTTTCTCTCCTTCTTTCGTTAAAATGAAATAAAAAATTTGAGGAAGACCCAGCAGTCATTGTTTTCAGAAAAATTCTTGCTTAGAAACATTAACAGTAGCAAAAGATATAATAATGGTATACAATCAGATTTCTGTATTTGAGAATTCGTGCTTTTGTGATAGTGGTCGCAGAATTTATTATACTAAAAATTTGGCTGCTGTTTATTGTATTTAATTTAATTGATTGTAAAAAACTCCAGCGTCGGACTAGCAACAAATTTCAGCCGGGGAATATATAAAAGCACAGGTCAATATATACTGTATATGTATATCGCCAGCCTGATTGTCGGGGTGATTAAACCATATCTCTGTGGGAGAATGAAATTGAATTCAGGCGGACGACGAACACTAGAAGTTTTTTGGGGTATATGTCGGGCTTTGTTACATGATTGACAGCTTAGGTAAAACCCACGATTGTTAAGAAAAACCGGAAAAAATTTTTTCACCACGATGGAATGCTCATCAAGCAAATAATACTGAAAACACTGTCTTTTCAGCGTTACCTGTATTTAATACAGAAAAGAAATTCTCACAAGGTGACTACAAGGTTAGAAAAATTCGGGTGAATTGGGTCGCGAATGGATTGAGGCCTGATTTATAATAAGAATTTTTAAATTTTAATACAATAGACATAGTTTATTTTGTTTATTCATTTATTTTTTTCGAGCGAAATGTAACATATAAAAATATGGAAAGTCGCCGAGCAAACGACGGCTTTCCATATTTTCGACCCAGTTGGTTCACTGGGAAGGCCTTTCAGACAATGAAAGGCCTTCCCAGTGAACCAACTCGCCACTGGAAAACGAAACGTGTCTTCAGATAATGCATGACTCCAAACGCCTTGAGAAGTCTTTCTATAGCTACGACGATAAAGTGATTCGTAAATGAAGTTCAGAGTAGAGGAGATCGGGGCAAGTTGGAACAGTAATATGGTTTGGATTTTTTATTGAATAACCGTTAATGTTAGCATGCTGAAAGTCACGTCATCAGACGTGACAATTAGTTGAACGCCATTATGTATTATCTGTTTTAATGTTTTATGAACAGTATTTTCAGAAAAAAATATTTTTCAGAATGCCGTTTGTTTCAATTTACCGCGTATCTGGAGTATATTGAAACAAAGCATGGGATAAGTTGGAACTATATATTCTGACTAATATGAAACCATGACAACTAATATGTGATTGATAGAGACATATGTCTTCATTCTTATGTTGAAAATAATTAATTCCATTCTGAATATCATACTTTAGTCGCACAATGGTTAGAAAGACCAGGAGATATTTTAAGGTAATTTTATGCAGAGTCATCTGAGTCATAATGATGGCATTCGTAGAATGGATGCACTATCCATGCATTTTTCATGTGCACCATTCTTTTACCGCATCATCAGCTTTTTCATTTCTTTTTTTTGCCTATAATGTTGGGATCTGTGTTGTTCACTTTTGCAACCTCATAAGCCGGCCGCCTAACACCATCAGAAGCAAGGCCAAAGTAAATACCGCTAGCTTCTTCAATGTAATAAGCCACATAACTTTCTTGAGAATCAGTAAAGATGTTTGGTGTTGCATAGCTCATTTTCAGTTGCAATACGCTACATGTATTTTCATGAATGCATTGCTGGTGAAACGACCGAGACGGTGTGGGTGATTTGTTTACACCTGTTAGTAAGAACAAACATGATATCGAATGGGAAGAATTAATGTGCATAATATTTCCGTCAAAATGCTGCCTAGTTATTCATATTTTTTTAACATTCTGCACATATCTGTATAGTCACATGTGGTATTTTGCTAGTCTTTACCACAACACGCGCAAACTCATTCGATTCCAAAACCCTTCTGACTGCATTCAGCATCTTCTCTTCGCTCATTTCTGTATTTTCTTCTGTATTTTATCGTTTCGTACCATTTTGAGAAACGGAAAATTGGTAGATTTTAAATACATCGCAAATACGGGACACGTTGGAAAACTTTCAACTTGCCCCATCCCATTTGTTGCTACGTGCCCCGAGAAGTCTTTTTGATGACGTCATTTAATACCAAAATGGTACTTAGGTGTGCCTTGACCGAACTTTAATAATTCTGCATGAGAATATCCACTCTTCTTATAGACCAAATAGAAAAGATTAACAGAAGTGTATTCACGAACAAAAAATAACAATTCTGGCATGAAAAAAAGTTACTCCTCCGCCCGTAAATCAGAAAAATTCTTCAAACTACAATGCTTCCGCCGCTATGCTCCTACCATTACATCAGCATGCCGGTTGCCCCACCCTCAACTGCATGTAACGGGATGAAATATTTCATAGGCTGCATAAAAAAATAGCACGAGTGTTTCAATATACCCCGTGTTCTAACCGCCCCGGTCTCTTCTAAATCTCGACGATGTTTTATTGCTATCCACAGCCGTGTTCAACGAGTTCAAAGAAAAGAAACAGCTTTATATATCTTTTCCATAGAGAAACTAGAGAAGTGTGAATAATTGACATAGTTACAGTAACCAGTTAAAATAGTTCTGAGCTTTCGATATACAGTAATTCATTCAATACTATTAGTTTTGCTATGGCTATTCATTTAATACTATCTAACCATTTTATTAGCAAGATTGTGTATGTGCGAGATGAATTGAAAGTGGTCATTAGCAGTAGTTCTACAAGAATATTAAAGTTTTCTAGGCGAAAATGTTTTGAAACGAGCAGACATTGAGCGCATCCGAGGATGTGTTCGAACGGAGCCATAGGAAATCAACAATACAGACAATTCCTTTTAAAAACCATCTGCATATTAAGTTCCAGTTACTACAGGCATTGTATCCTGGTGACCATAACAGAAGGTTAGAATTTATAACACACCATATCTTTGAGGATATTCGGGTAATAGCAATTGTCAAGACATTACCTACTGTTAGAAGTAGAAATGTTAAGATATTAAAGAAACAGTTGCATGAAAAAAATCTAGTAAATTGCAATAATAATTTATTATAACAATATTGTCGCGAGATAAAAGAATGAAGACAACGAGACAGAAGTAGAAGAAAAAGATTACTAGTATCCATAGTAGACCATTAAAATTAATAAACTTTTTGTTTTCTCAAGAAAAAATAACCATATTTATTAGATCAACTATTAGCTTTAAAAATAAACATAAGAAAATGAAATGTCCACATAAAAAGATGGCAAAAACAATCTAAAACATCTGACATTTTAATAAATCAATTGAAGCACTTTTAGAGTAATGTTTCAGTAATCCGTATAAAGTCAATAATCCAACACAATTCTCTAGTCCTATGAGAATCGGATTAAGAAAGTTGGACTGTATTTGTTATTTTTATTTATAGTATTGTTATCGATCAAATTAGTTATGTAGTCGAGTGTAGGTGGCTTCAGAGATGAAAGAAAATACTGCTATTTTTTAAAATTACAGTAGACTTACTCAAGTCATTGTAACTGATCAAAATTAGTTTAAAGTTTGCGCTATTTCTGCTAGGAAATTCCCAATTTATTACAATTTTTGGACTGATGTTCGCGTGTTGGTAACATTGCTAGCCTAGTCGGGATACTGCCCTACCGTTCATATTGCCGATAGTCAATATCAATGGTCCACTTGGTTTTCATAAGCATAATGTAGTTAAACGGTAGACAGCATACCCACTTTTTTGCAACTACATCACTGGATAGAATTACATTTAATTTCAAATACATTAGAAAAATCAATTATTTATATATGCAGATTGACACTTAGCAAGATGTCCTTTAGAGAATACTTAGTACAATGCTATACTTAATTTCAAATGGATCAGAATTGGGCTTGCCAACTCCCGAAGAGTTAAGATTCTATATGCTTTCAAAGTTGTAAAGTTCTTTTACATTCCCGGCTGTTATATATAATAGAGGGAAAGTATGGCGATCGATCAAAAAATGACCCCCTCAAGATTTTTATATTTTTGGGCTCGAAATGTCCAGAAATGCAAAAATATTCGATGCTTTTTTCTGTATTATGAATTTTTGTGGGGGAGCATTTTTGTTCACCCACTTTGAAGTTTAATAACTCCTGTGCTTTTTGTCGAAAATTTCTGAAATTTTGCAATGATATTTGTATATTAGGGGGATTGATGCTATTAAATTTTGGTGATTAAAGATCCAGAGGGTGAGGAGATAAAGGGGGATCGCTTGTCATATTTCGAGTATGGTCGGACTTAATGACGATTTTACTCGTTATTAACGTTTACAAATTTTTATAAAACCCGTCCCTATCCTGAAAATTAAGCATTTTGCCATTTTCTAATAGATAAAAATATAAAAAGTTTTTAAATAAAATATAATAACAGATGGCGTCACCAAATGTTGCTGGGAAAGTTAAGCAACTCGTTGCTGGATTTTTTTGAAGCAGTCTTTATTTAAATTTATTTGACTTTTCTGTAATAATTTTCATTCAATTTACAAAATCAATTAACCAAATTTTATTACAGTAAATTCATATAGAAATTGATTTAACAACTAGTGATGAGAGTAGTAAACTATTTTTAGATTATGAAAAGCATAACATTTATTCGCGCAAATATTTAAATAATTACGGACAGATCTGGCACTATAGTTTATAGCCTACCGCCTGGGGCAAGACATGCATTTGACATGCATGTTGTACCATACGTAATGTATAAAAATTCTAAAGTCTAAACATTACTCAGCTTAGTATGACCTTGGGTACTTGTAACCATGAATTCATTTAATTTCTTAAGCATAGATTTTATGAGTGCTTGCTTGGACTGCTTTGGGCGAATTCCTAACCTTTTGAGGGGAATGTTTTTCCCTAGATAAAACATTGTTGAGCAAGACAAGTCCTCCATAAGCAGATCAAAAATCATTATAAGAAGGATTTTTTAAGTATTATTTTTAAAATTATTATTATTATTATTATTATAAATGCCAGTATTTTAAACAACTCTCTACTTCAATTCTTCATGCAATAGATTAACTTCGTTATTAACAAATAACCTTAATAACAATATATAATTTCTAGATAATATCGAGTTAATTTTATATTTATATGTTTATTAAAACTTTCTTAAAATAATAATCCAATTAAAAGTAATTAACTTATTTTAAGATGAAAGTTTCAATAAAATATTATTTAATAATTTTCATCAATTAAAATTAATTATCATCAAAAATTTCTTTTTGTATTGATTTCTATCGTTAATTATAATTTTACAAAGCATTATATTCTCTCGTTAATTTCCAAATAATTAATATCGCATGAAAATGTACTAAAAAGAAAAATTGAAATCTAAACCTTAAAATTCATCTCCAATAACACTGTATATATATAGAGAATTCCTTAAATTTATGCTACTAGAACATAAAAGCTAGAAGTTTGTTGTTAAAAATAAGAATTTAATTAGATTTATTTATGAATAAAATTCATAAATCTTGTCATTGATATCTACTAGGCGTATGATGCCTTTATTAATATGCCTTTCATCTTGATAAATGCTTATTGACGGTGTTTATTCCAGTAAAAACGCATAATGCCCCCTCTCCATGAATGGATGAACAGCTGCATTCTGCTGTTAGACATCAGTTTTCCATTCTCTTTATCCTTTATCAACAACATAAATCTGTAGAGCAACTTAAGTTCTTTTCTACTTTATAACTTATCAACTACGTATTCTCATAAACATATAGATGATATTTTTCACTTCTATACTGTATCTAATTACTACATGTTACAGCTTTTTCATAAAATAATTTTTTTTTATTTTTATTATTATATTTTACTATATAATATTTATTTCAATTTTTTAAAGTAAAAAAAAATTAGTATAAAATCATTTTTCTAAGTAAAATTAAAATTAATTTATTTAATTTTAATTTATTCGACTGTCAATAGATGGCGAGACTAATTAACTTGCTATTGTTACATTGTTTTAAATATTAAATATTATGTTTTGTTTATTTCAAACACATTTATTTTCTAAAATTATTATTATTTTTTTTAATAATACATTATTAATTTATATATTAGCATTTCTCTTGATTTAAATACCCTGATTAAACTTTAAGATTGAAAATTTGAAAGTACTCTTGTATTTTCAAATTAATATTTGTTTGATATTCAACAAGTTGTTATTAAATTAGAAAATTTTTATTTATAAATTTAATATTACCTTTTAAATGATTAAGGTATCTTTATTGAATCTTTCACTTGGAAAGCCTTCATTTGAATTCTCCATCCTGCTAAAATATATATATATATACATATATAAATTTATTAAAATATAAGTATTATTAATATTTCCATCTTTGTACATAGTTTAAAACTTAACTTATATTAACTAAAGTTTTAATTTTAAATAATTTTACAAAGTTTATTTATTGTATATTGTACACACTGCATAATTTATAATATATTATCAATTTATTTATGTATATTATGAGCCTACTTAATGTTTTAATTTACCCCATTCATTTATTTATTATTATTACTACTATAAAAAAAAATATTATATAATT